AAAGGAAAACAAGAAAATAGTACTGACATAAAAGGACTTGATTAGACAGTTTACACAATTTACACTACACTCTACTTCAAAAGTGAAACAATACTGAATGAGTTGTACTGTCTGGTACAAATCTAAAATAAAATTACTCTTTCTGAAATAGACCACTTCTGGATAGTGGAGACGCATAATCTGTTTAATGTAAAACTGAATTGCTTCCTTATTTGTTTCTTGCACTGCTTAACTGAGAAATGACTGGGGAAGAGTACCAGAAATACTGTCTCCTCATGTAACCAGTCACTTAACCAAAATGAACCTCTATGAGCCAGTATTAACACTTACTACTCCTTGGCAATGAAAATACAATCCCAATAATTCTCAAAATCCTGAATTTCAAAGAGCTTAAGATACTAGCTCAAGATCAACTTTCTTGTAAATGAGGAAAGTTGAGCTATGAATTCAAGTCAAAACTCGTATTCTTAAATCATACAGAAACAGAGCTCTGGCTAAAGGAGAATAGAGAATACTATCACACAGCTAAAATGGTATGCTCCCAGAGCAGAAGTTGGCAAGCTTTGTCTGTAAAGGGCCAGAGAATAAATACTTTACAACTGGCTGGTCACAAATGGTCTTTGTTGCATAGCCTTTTCAGGCATCAGGCAGGACATAGCTTGCCAATCCTGTTCTGGAGAGGAAAGGCTGTGTGTAATGCTTTTTAAAATCTATCAACTATTGTGCCTAGCATATTACTTTCAAAACCTTAAGTACTGAATACAAAGAATAAATAATACTAGCTTCTCAGTCCAAGTTCCTTAGTTGAATAGTACTTTGGAGGGTGAAAGCCAAATATAAATCACCAAACGAGATACTACCTCTTAGAACTGACAGATAACCATGGTTCTAGATATCAAACTTGTCTATAAGCTCAGTCCTTTTAACAAGATCTCTACAAATTAGATAGAAACACAAGCAGTGGACACATATGTCCTGCGATGGCACCTAAAGGAGTCTAAGCTCATCAGAGCTTCCTCCCCACCCTACACTGCTATGACCTCAAGTCGACCCTGACAGTATGAGCTAATCTCCTGAACCCATGCCCCACAACCACAAACCACCACAACACCTTGATCACACCACAACCCTACTTCAAGTTCTATGGGGGCTACACCACCTAGTTTTCAAGACTTTTAGATTTCAGATATAAGTACAATTACGAGGGCATAAATATAGACCTAAATAAGGTTTCATAAAAGGGACACTTCAATACCAAAAGCAAAAAAACAAAAAAACAAAAAACAAAAACAAAAAAACCAGGAGGGATAACCTCTAATTATTTTCCAAAATGGCAACCCTACAAAATCATTTTTGGTTTGGACCAGTCTACATTTGGAAACCACTGACTTCCAAGATAAAACAAATACTTTTCTTCTGTGGCGAACGAGTCCATCGTGAATCAATTGGGCCCTGCCTATGGGTGTGATTTTCCTACTTAACGGTAATCTTCCCTGACAAGAGTATGTCCCTTTACACCTGCACTCATTTCCAGAAACCGTTTCTTCTTCTGGCATGGTCATCTATTCTGACGAACTCTTACTCTTCCTTCAAGTACTGGCTTAAATTAAACTACCTCTTGAGTGATGCCTTCTCTAAGGAAATTTAACTGGTCACCTTCCTGGTTTCCCATGCCACTGCCTACATTGACTCATTATACCAAACACCACATGACCCTGTTAACAGTTTCCCCATATCTATCATTTGCATGACTTCCTTGAAGAGATGTTATCTTTTCAGCTTTATACACTTAGAGCCAAGAAATGTGCCTAGTGTGTCATAGGTGCTTAATACTTAGAATATAATACAACTTATTGTTCCTGAATTCTTTTATAAAAAGGAGTGACTTGTTCATGAACATACTGATAGTCAATATAACCAGAACTGAATTAAAACTGGCCGCAGTAATACTTAAATTTATGAAGAAGTTCCATAATAAAAAAGGGAAATATGAGACAATATAAACCATGTGTTAAAAACTCCAGTCACATGTAAAATGAACTACGACCGAATATTCATTTACTAAGAGTAGTATTTCATTTAGAGGATAACCATTTTGTATATGTAAGCTGTAATCTTATGAATAATGACACTATAGCAACTTTTCAATATGGAAGCCAAATTTTACATGCCTTTAACATTTAACTAAATGATATTTACGAAACACATACCTGAAAGACTGTGAAACCAAGGTAATATTCAATAAGAATGCAACCTATGCTCCAAACATCACAAGGCTGAGACCAACCTAAAGCTATTTAAAAACAAAAACAAACATGTTATTATGCAACAATTTCTAATTGCCAATATACTAAGTCCTTCTCTATGTGAGTGCTCTCTCTACACAGCTCATTTGGGAGAATGTAACAGTAAATTTAGTAAGATTACATTTTTAGACTTATATCTAACAGTATTCAGCATCTTTTCAAGTCCTCCATATACTTATATCAAACTACAGTATTTTAACTTGAGGAAGGGGGCATTTTATGTAAAATTAAAATAAAAGAGGAACTGGCAAATATTCCCTGAGTATAACTAGCAATTTATAGAAATGGTTCATGGTGTCCGAACTGCACGTGCAGTGACAGCACTGTCATGCCGGTTCCCAGATGTCCCAGGGGGGTTCACATTCTATTAGTGCAGATACAGGTCAACAATTATCCTCCGAATGCAATTAACCCCTTCTCAATTATCAGCAGCTAGATGCTTGAGTTTACTTCTTCCATTAAAAGAAATAATATAGTTTTACACAAATTATGTAAGACTTATAAGGAATATTTAAGCAGTTTTACCTATAAGCAGAATTATAGAGCCATTTAAAGTTCACCCAGAGAGGGATCTATATATATGTACTCTCAAGCTGTCTACACATGATCATATACACTTTTTCTTTCAGAATTCTCAATGACAATACTATTCTGAAAAGAATAAAACATCTAGTCTTCTTAAGCCTATATTTAATTGGGAAGGAGATGAAAAGAGTAAACCACAAAGATATTTTAATCTTTTAAAGATTAAAGATTTAATAAAAATAAAATATATAAATAAAACTTATTTTAAAAGACATTTCAATTACTTTCAGTAACATCACTGAATTTGAAGATGAAGAAAGAAACAATACATTTCAAGGACTTTGACTATGATTAAGTAATTTTTGTAAACCCTCACAATGCTTATCATTTGAACAACTTGATAAAGGAACATGGTTTCTACTTAGGTACACGTGCAAAATCTGCAAATGCCACAGCTTGGACCTAAGATGAAAGTTTTATTCTCCAGCCACTCCTATCTTCCAGCCCATCTTTTCCCCAAGTTGCTGTAACCTGCAGCACACCATTCTATATCATCCCATTCTCTGATGAGTCAGCTTCTCATACTCTGGAATTCTATATCCTTCACTTTTATCAACCTCTCCCAAATTTATCTATTTATCATCAATACCCAAGACAGGAGACAAACGGCCCTCAATTGTAGCACTGACATCTTCCGCCTCCCTCATTCTGCCTTAATCCTCAGGAGTAAAACCCAGCTCCCACCAAACACATATGGTTCTTCTAACCTCCCATTCTGATTTTCTCAAGGCCAATAACCCCAATTCTGAATTTAGTATCAACTATCCCTAGCCTGGCCACACTTGGAACTTCACTATTACTAATAACTACTATGTTACCCAATCTAGGAAGCCAGTAACTAAGACATACCACCATTTTATGTACCGATAAAAATGAAAAACTGCTAGTTGTTTTGTGTTGTATTCCCCTACATTAAAATGAGGGAAAATCTGCATTTTAAATTGATAAATTCAGGAAGTTATCTCCTTTTAAGGAGAAAATTCCTCTGTCCACAATCTCTTCCTCACTCCTTTCACCCTGATAGTAGCCTTTAGTCCTCAACGAGGAACATTCTTTGTAATCCACTGTAACACAGCAGCTCCTTCTATATCACACTAAGCAGAAATCCTATTATCATCCATTTCAAGGATAAGCTCTAAACCTGTGAGTCCAATATGGTAGCTACTAACCACATGAGGCTATTGAATCTAAAACTTAAATTAATATTAACATTTAAAGTCCAGTTTCTTGGTCACATTAGCCATAGTGCGAGTGCACAGTAGCCCCCATGTGGCTAACAGCTACCACGCTGGACAGTCCAGACATAAAGCATCTCGATTAGTGTGGAAAGTTCCATTGGCCAGCGCTACATAACAGTCTCGACATCTTTACCCCTTTACCAATCCTCTACTGCAGGTAAAATAAACAGTTCGCTTTTATACTCCTCCTCTTAACTATCGAATCCTATTGGGCCAAACAAAGAAAAAACTGGAAACAACTAATTCCATAAAAATGTTTTACTATCCAACCTCAGTTGGACTGTACTTTTGGCCAAGTAATAAAATTATCTCATTTAACTATCTCCCCACCTGATCTGAACTTGTCCCACGTCTCTAAGCCCCCAAACCCATCTCTGACTTCCCAGCTCTATTAACATGACCTAGTCTCTAACTTTTAAATTTGGATGCATGCTCCCTTGAGTTCCACCTTATTTTAAAACTCTGCACCTTAACTCATTTTCTTTTCCAGCCTTTCTCATGTCAAGGGTGATCGAAGAAGCTCTCTTCTTTGACTAGCCCTTCCTTCTTTTCCTCTTGACCTCCACCAACCCTATATTCAGGTGTCTGCTAACCAAGCCTTTAGTTTTACCAGCACCACGCTTTTGTGATGACACAAAAATAGATTCCCGCATCACTGTAAAATCATAGTGCTATGATGTACTTAATCAACAGAGCTTGTTCTCTTATGATCTCTTAAGATGAACTTGTTCAAAAATAAACACCACCTGAAAAATCTTTACAGATGGTGCCACATTTTTCCCACCCAGGAAGAATATTTATAGAAATGTCTCAATTGTTTTCATGAAAATAGCAAAGAATTTTCTGTACATCACTAAGAGAATCAACTCCCCCAAAGCTGTAGAGAACAAAAAGCTCTTCTTCAATTACAGTATCTGGAAGTCTGGTGTCTACTAACCCAAAATGACCTCTGGAGCTCTGTAATGCCGTGTAGATACCAAAGTACTATGATGTTCATCATCGTATGTTGCACTTCCAAAGTCAACAACTTTGATATCTGTGTTTTTCAGTGTGCGTTCATCACGTTTCTAGAGAGACAGTGGAGTAAATATGAAGATCAATAAAGATATATTTTACAGCACTATCCCAAAGTCTCACATAATCTTTTTGACTTTCAACATAACCCTGTAAGAAAGGCAAAGATGGATTAACCTTTTGAGGTTAATCATCAGGATATAATCAGCCTCAGAAGTGGAATTCCTCATCAAAGGATCCCAAGCGAAATTAATTTGAAAGACAACCACCAAAATTAAAACAAGTTCTCAACTTACCATTTTTGAATTATACTTGACTACATAATCAGACTTCACAAATAAAATATTTTCAGGCTTCAGATCTGTATGAGTTAATTTATTATGATGCAAAACTACAAGAGAACAAAAATACATCATTAGTTTCTTATAAATTTAATCTGTGTTGGGGAAAAGAATACTTAATAGTGGATATAGGGGTCACAAGGGGGTTTCATCTTTATAATATGTATTTTTAGTGACGACAGTCTGATATGATGCTTATGTAACAAAAACTTTTAGTTTTTGGTGTTTGAAGATTTACCAAGTATACTTACAATTTATTGACTGGCAGATCTGATACGCCATCTGCCTGATATGGTCAATTTGAAATGGCAGAAAACTATTTTCTTTAATGAAATCATAGGTACTAAGTCCCAGCAGTTCGAACACAATACAAACATGACCATGATGATCAAACCACTCTAGCATCTGGACACATCGGCTAAAACAGATCAAAATAAAAGTTATTCAGTTCACAGATTTGATTATTTCATGTAATATGATGGGTCATAATTCAAGTTCATACTTACAAGACACTATTGGGATCAGTAGTATTTAAATGCTCCAATACTTGGATTTCTGAACGAGCTGCTTCACGGTATCGACCTACATTTTTTACGATTTTCACTGCTACATGAATGCCATCCCTTAAACAAAATTATGAAAATGGTAAATGTACAGGAGCAGGAAAAAGACATGTACCTTCTACACCATAACCTTATCAATTACTCCAAGTTACTTTCCTAAAGTAATTTTTCAGAGTGTATTACACCGATTCCATACATTATCTTGTCAAAACATTTTGACAAAATACACAATGTGAAGTCATGATTCCCTTAATACCTATGAAGTTGAATGTTTCTGGAATTTTAAATTTAAGTAGATTTTATACAAAAGTTAAAAAATATATAAATCTCAAACAGAATATGCTACTGCGAAAAGCATTTTTTCATTTACCAGGCTAGACCCACTCTGTGCCAGACACTGCCCAGGCGTTAGTGATGAAAAGACAAGGCTTGTCCCCATGTACGTCACAGTTCAAGAGGCAGGTAGTGCTGGGTGGGAGGCCTGCAGAGGAGGGCGAGCCAACCACTTGGGGAGGGAGGAGCTCAGACTTCTTCAGGGAAGAGGTGACACACAACTCAGCCCTGAAAGACCGCTACTTATCAGTTTGCCAGATTTAGGAGGAAAAAGGGAACATTCGGGCAAAAGAGAAACCATCAATGTCACGAAGACAAGAAAATATGTAGCACATTAGCTGATTCAAGTAGGCAAAAATAGCTCCAGTGCAGTGCAGTGAGCTGCAGACTGGGGCATCTGTAATACTGAGCCAAGAGTGAGTGTGAGAACATGGATTTCCGAATCCTTAACTTCCTTTTGACTTTCTGGAAGATGAGCCAGCATTCAAGCCTTTTTTTTTTCCCCCCCACTATGGCTCCACTACTTTATAGAAAGAAGAAAAATCCCATGTGCTGCTAATTAGCATATCCAGACATATGCTCTAGGCCCTAGGGACTAGGATATAAAAAATTTTTGAGGCAAACAAATCTTTCTGGCGGCCGGGAAGCAAACTTTTTTCCCTGAGTCTGGTGGTTTCCAATTTATTGCTTTCAAAAAAGCCCCAATGAGGTTGTGAGATAATAAATCATTAAAAATTATTCTGACAATAATACCTCTGTAACAGTTCGCATATATCTCAAGATTTAAAAGAACTATTATAAAATTGCTGTGACCAAACTCCTTACAGTCTCATTACTTACACAACCAAGTTTTCTCACTGCTTATAGCTATAAAAACAAAAGGTAAAAAGACTTTATGGTAAAACACTAAGATATATTTAATCTATGAATACATGTACTCATTTTTTTAAAAGCCCAAACATCTCAATACAAGATACACTTCCAATTAAATTTTATTTTGGGTCTAAGTATCAAAATTTGTAAAAGATTTGTACTTGGTTGACTGAATACTACAAATTGGAATATCTTGACTACATATCTCAGTCTTAAAATCCCAAGAAATTTTACAAGGACATTAATGATACAACTAGTAAACTCTTAATAAAGTCTGTAGATTAGCTAATAAAATTTGAAGACATATAATATATATAATATATAAAAAATGATCAAAGAAATACTGTAAAATGTTAACATTTGAGACTGGGTGAAGCATATAGGGGAATTCACTGAACTATCAACTTTTCTTTAAGTCTGAAAACATTTCAAAATATTTTAAAATATCAATTTATATTCATTCACATTTTCATTGCAAAGACGATATAAGGTGATGATAGATATTTAGAATAATATTCTTTATGCAAAGTGGAAGGAAAATAAGTTCAAGGATAAAACATTTCCAAGTTCTTAAGAGTTCGTTCATGCGGGAATGACAGCAGGTATCAACTTGCTACAACATTTAGATTCCCTCAAAGACATTTAAAGAGGTTTTTTTAAATTAATGCTTACGATAAGCTGCAAATTACATCCTTCCCAACTATTTTATGATGAAAAATTTTAGGTGTCAGTTTAGATACATGCAGTTTCACTAAATTGTCTTAAGAGGTTCATTTACAAAAAAGTTTGCAAACCACAGAACGGAGGTCCTGGAGGAAAATGTTAAAATGAGGTAGAGAAGGTCAAATTACAAAGGGTTTAGTATAACTCATTCCATAGGCTGTATATGTATATAATTCCTTCATAGTTTAAGAAGCTAACTCTCACATGCCTTTGGGAATGAATAAAGGTTTCTTTCTGAACCAAGAAGATTAGACATGATTCATGATCTCTGTGATTCAAAAGTAAAGTGAAGCACTCTGAATTTCTTACATAGGCTAAGGGCCTAATTCTGGGTAATTCTCTTGATTTGAACACCTAGTTTAATTTCAATGAACTTCACCTGATAGAATTTGTCAGACTTCTTGATCGCAAACCACTCATAGTAAATAAATCGCACAAAGTTCAACAAATTCTGAATATTTATATCTCCCGGGAAAACACGTGGCTACCATTTAAAAACACCTTTTCATCATTATGAACCCTTCCTCACCAAAAATATCACAATGTTTGAAAAAGAAAAAACACGAACTTACATGCCATGATCAATGCACTCTACAACTTTGCCAAAGGCCCCTTCACCCAAAGTGTCCACGATTTCATCTAAAGTGAGGGAGGAGAAAGAGGTAAGTACCTGAGTACAAATTATCTAGTTATTCAAACAATGAATGCTTAAAGGGTGGAATATTTTCAAAAGATCTCTATCAAAGCATAACTAAGGTTTCAGCACCCAAATTATTTTATTTCAGCTGCTACAAAGACAATTAGATAGAGCTATCTTTCTTGCTCTAATCTCAAATTTCACTAATAATTTTGGAACTTTAGAGTAGAAATATTTAAATTCTACAGAAAAGAAGAAATACAAAAAAAAAAAAAAAAAACACAACAAACCCACAAAAAACAAAACAAAAAAGCAATGAAGAAGTCTTTAGCCCCCCGCTGACAAACTATTCTTAAAAAGATTATTCTGTCTGCAAAGTTTAAAAAGTGTTGAAAAATATTCTATACATCTTGCTCTTAGAACGTCTCCACTTTGACAGATCAGGTGACCCTCCTCATCATCCTCTATACTCCTGGGTCTTTTCCTTCGGTGGCTCTTCTGGAACGGCAAGTGGGCAGCACCGAGATCGTCCAGCCAATCAATATATCAGAGTGAATTCAGGGCAGAATACGCAATTCATTCAGCGGGGAGATATTCAGGCATTCAGATAAGCACCAGGCCACGAACAGTTGGCAGGAGCAATTTCAAATTCAGTCCCCAGAAATTCACAGGGCACAGTTTATGTTACAGAAGAAAAACATGGCAAGGAACAGATTTTCAGATAAGATACTTAAAGTGGCAATAGAAAAAAACAACACAATTGTCTCTCTAAAACACTGATTTAATTGAAGTCTGAAATTTAAAGAATGCAATGTCATGATCTACTAATCTCTTGCTATAAAATAGCATATGCTGTGAGTTGAAATGTCTAGTTTTCACAAAAATGTTTTAGAATGTCCAAAATTAGTTGAAACGGTTTATTTAGCAATCTTTTTTAAAAATACATGATTAAAAGGGAAAGATAATGGCTAGTTTATTTCAATATTCGACCAGCCAATCAATATATCAGAGTGAATTCAGGGCAGAATACGCAATTCATTCAGCGGGGAGATATTCAGGCATTCAGATAAGCACCAGGCCACGAACAGTTGGCAGGAGCAATTTCAAATTCAGTCCCCAGAAATTCACAGGGCACAGTTTATGTTACAGAAGAAAAACATGGCAAGGAACAGATTTTCAGATAAGATACTTAAAGTGGCAATAGAAAAAAACAACACAATTGTCTCTCTAAAACACTGATTTAATTGAAGTCTGAAATTTAAAGAATGCAATGTCATGATCTACTAATCTCTTGCTATAAAATAGCATATGCTGTGAGTTGAAATGTCTAGTTTTCACAAAAATGTTTTAGAATGTCCAAAATTAGTTGAAACGGTTTATTTAGCAATCTTTTTTAAAAATACATGATTAAAAGGGAAAGATAATGGCTAGTTAATTTCAATATTCGATGTAATCAAAGCTAATTTTACTGAAGAAAACTTAGGGAGGAAAATGATAATTCAGTTTACTGATCAAACCAGTCTGAGTTTAAAAAAAAAAAAAAGGGCAGGTTTTTAAAATACATTTCTCATTCAGCACCCATTTTCAGAACTTCAATGGAACGAGCTGCAGACGATAATGCACTGTGCTATGGAACTATGCTATACACAGGATATTTAAGTATCCACCAGTGCAACTTCCTATATTTGTTTCTAAGTATCTAGAAAGGGGTTTCTTTTAAAGTAAAAAATAAACGTTTCAAATCAAAGATGAGTGTTTCATCTTTTCATAAAACTGTATTACAAAACATGAAAATAGAATATTTGTAATACAGAACACCAAGAAACTCATGATGTGGTCTGCAGAAAATGAGTAAATGTGGACAAGTGAGGGCAGCTAATAAATACAGCTCTGAGAATTTGAAAGTTTCCTTTAAGGACTCAAGTAATCTAAGCACAATATACGTAAACAGTATTATATAAATTTTCCAAACTTATTGGCTCATTAAGAGCTTTACACACAAATTAAGTATTGACCCAAAATAAAAACAAAATCAATCATACCGAACACGACTGATGACTTGAACAGTGTCTATTATGCCTCCTTTTGGGACTGCTTCTCCCGCTCCGGACTGAAGATTTACTGCAGTGGATTCGGTAACTGCTTTCAATGTCTCTGTGATAATGTCTAGGAATGTATCTTTCGCAGTAGTCGTTTCTGTATTCATCAACATATCTTCGGTCCCGATAATCTCTCTCATTCAAGGACCTTGCTTCTAAATAGTGACTGCAAATACATTAAAAGATTTCAAATTATTCTCTTCATTCTAGAATGTGGTTCAAATAAAACATTCTCTCAAGAATTCCTGGTTTAAACAGCTAACTCAATAAAAGAAAAAAAATTCAAATTGATGAATTAGAATTTATATTTGTCATAAACAATTTTAATCAATAAGCAAATGGGTTCATATTTATTATAGAGATTGCTGTCAAGCACTTCATATCAAGGAACAAAGCTTGCGCCAAATCATTCAATTATGTTGTGTTTACTTATTAAGTGTCCCTTTGCCTTCTGGAGAAAGTTAAACCAAAAACTCAAAAAACTGCTCTTCTGAAATTCATGTCTTATGATATATGCATCTGCAACTAAGCTTTCTTTTCTCACAGCCACACGCAATTAGAGGCAAGCAAACAGGATTCCTTTCTCTTTTAATGTAAGTACATTTTAGATATCCCTGGCACACAGTGAATTCTTTGATAAAAGGTGATGTATTCTACAAGGAATCTTAAATGTATTTCAGCCCTTTTCGTTTACAAATGATTGAGATCCCAAGGAGGAAGATGACTTGCCAGAGTTGTAGAGCACATTCTAACTCTATGATTATACAGGCCAAAATTATTACACTCATCACCTATCCCGTCTCCTTTCCTCTTTGTATTTCTAGCTTCTTGTTATTCCTTTGAAAAATAGACAAAATGGCTTTTGAAGGTTGCATCATGTGCCAAAGACATCTAAAATATATCTCCCTCAAATGAGAAAGGGATCTTGTGCTTGTCTAGGATTACAAGAGACCCAGTACTCTACACTTCCCTTTGCAATTCTAATTTCCTATTATTTCTGCTTGCAAAATACTCAAGAATTCTACATAGAAAACAGTATCATTCAGTGCCACAGTGCTTAACTTCTGAATCTACAGATCCCTTTAAAAATCTGATGAAAGATATGGACCCTCTCCCCCAAGAAATGCACCAATGAACAAACAAAACTTGGCAAGGAATTTCAGAGATCATGGACCTCAAGAAGTCAATGGATCCCAGTTATGTAGCCTGGAGCTGATGGAAAGAAAAGGACATAGATTCAATTGGCCCAGTTTCCCATCCCCCTCTCTACCTGGGTTGAGTGTCCTCTTCAACAGAGTGCGAAGCTTCAAGAGGGATGCACATGGAGCACTGAGGGAGAGAGGGGACACCTGCCCAGTCAGACAAATCAGCTAAAATAATCCTGACAAGCAATGGAGTGACAGATGACTAGATAGCCCTCACCAACCCCTCTTTTCCCCCCAGAATATGTTGTTGTTCTTGTTCCCGGGGGCTGGTTTAGGTAGAAATAAAGAGAAGCATCTCTATAACTGCTACGCAACAAAGCTGGCATCAAACTCAGGCTGAGGAGATGCAGGAACCCCACTTTCCCTTTTCCCTGTGTCAGTCTTAAGTTCTATTCACTGGAGAAACAACTCAGGATTTTAGGGTCAGAGAGCTGATCACTTGGCTTGGACCTGTCAGAGAGATCAAGCTAGAAGTTACCACACTCTTAAAAGTATCCTGTTTAATTTGTAAAGCATACTTCCCATAAAAGTCCAGAATCTATCAGAAAAAATACACAAATAATCTTTAACTGGAACCAGAGCGGCTGGTAATCCATAAACAATCTATAAAAGAACAAACATGCGGTGAAATAATACCATGAGGATAAACTAAAAAGATGAGGATCTCTTCAATCCGTTAACGACCACGGCTGAGAGATCATATAAAAACAGTCTATAGAATTATAAAGGCTATGGGACAGTGAACAGGATGAAAAGTCTAATTTAATTTCTAAAAATATTCACTGAATGTCCAGTGAATTTTTCACTACAGTCCCTTGAAATAGCCAAGATTAATGAGGCTATGGGCATTCATTTTTATTTCCAAGTGTGGCAAAATCTCTGCCAACAAATAATGGACAATTTGAGATTCCTCACATAAAAATAAAACTCAATAATGCAGGAAATGCTGACAGGTTGCATATGAGTGCTCAGGTCATGGAAGGGAAAGCACTCAAACTTCTGAAAATGGTCAAGGAAGACTTCAAGAAAATGAAAATTGAATCTTAAAAGGAAGTCAAGATTTGGACAAAGTGGAAAGCAGAAGAAATGCCAGGGGAGGAAAATGGCATATTACCATTCTACAATTATGTGGCATTTTTAGCCACAATGGCTTACATATAGGTTCATCTACGTTATTACTCAGGCAAGAGTTAAATAGACAATTCCAGCAAGAGCAATTTTCACAAGAGGGGAACATAGGCAAATAAATAAGCTGGGAACAGGTCATCCAAAATCCTGCATACCAGGCTAAGGACTTTAAAAGTTTCTCAAAGGATGATCTGTTTATCAGCAGTATCGAGATATGAATTATTAAAAATGAAGATCTCCAGGGTTCAGGTCAGATTCACTAAATCTTGTAACGTGCATTTTAAACGCACTTCTGATTCTATTCACACTGAAGTTTGAGAATCATTGGTTTAAGATTTGATGCTCTATGTAATAGGAAGACGTTTAAGGATTTTCACAATATATAAAGGTGGTGTTTACAGCCACATCAGTCTTCCTAATGTACTCTGCAGAATCGACTGATTTTAGCCTGTAGAAAGGGATACTAATTCACAGGCTTCTGCCAAAAGACAAATCAGAAAGAAAAACCCTTTGCAATTTATAAAAAAGGTAAAATAATTGATATATAATAAGAGCCTTCATTAATCAGTAAGAAAAATACACTTTAATATAAAAAAGACTAAGAATACAAAAATAACGTTCAAGTGGTCAATAAATATGCCAGTGGACAAATTCACTAGAAATTTAAAAATTCAAGTTAAAACAAAACTCCGTTCTTGGCATCTCAAGATAGCCAAGACTGGTGAGGGCAAAAGGCATGTTGTAGGAGTATAGCTTGATACAACTGTTCTAGAAAAAGATGTTAATATGTAGCAACAGTTTGTACACTTTAATTTACAAATGTTCCTTCTTAGAATATGTTTTCAGAAAATAATAAGAGGCAAAGATTTGCATATAAAGATATTTTTAAGATTAGAAACAATTTTACATCCAAATGAGGGACGAGCATCCTATTAAAGTTACCTTCTTTATACTTCCCACATTTTTCAATTTTATAAAAATCACTTTAAAAATTTTTAATCTTCAAAAAAGACTATTAAAATATTCCAGATTATGGAGAACAATTACCACCAAACATCTCTGGTGCCAATGTCAAAGAAGCTAATGGCCTGGTGGTTCACTGGACTTAGTATCATGTCTATAGAATTAATTATGGACATGAATGAACTGTTTATCACTCAAATCACTTCCTTTCTACATATACAATGCATAGTAAACCCATGAGGGATCAATACTATGATGTTATGCCTTACATGGTATTTTGTATTTATTGATAATAGGGTACAGGTGTTTTTCTATAGTACATTAATTAGCTCAGGTCATTGAAATCCTGTCATAAACCCTCCCTCTTCATCTCACATAACTGTGTGATGATGATCAGTCTGCACTAACAAGCTCACTGTTCTGCAGAATGAGTCTGTTTCAGGATAGAGAAGGAAAAAAATTACATACTGGTTTTTAAAATAACCCCAGCTCACTAATTTAGAAGGCAATCTGGTATAAACAGTCCCAATGGAACATCTACACAAAACAAGGAGAAACATAGAACAAATGAGAAAAGAAAATTAATGGAAGACAGAGTGAAAGAAACTACTCACTTAGCCTCTTCTTAATTATTTAGGAACCTGAAAATTCCTTTGATTCTATAGGAATATATTACCTCCGATTTTACACCAGTAAGAAGACAATAAAACAGGTCAGATGTTATTGAAAACTTTTATTGAGGCCTTTTCCTATGTTGCCAGCTACTGCCTGTGCAAAGAAATGGCTTCTTTTCTTTAACTAAGTTTCTAAAAACCAAAAAACATGTCCACTGGCCTTATTTACAAAAATAGCTTGTAGAACATAATGTAAGCAACTAATCCCCAATGTGCTTTAACATTCTCATCTGCAGTTACTCTCCCTGCCCCTCCTTACTACTCATTTGAGCAACACTAAAGGAGCTCCCTTATATACATATCTCCCTCCTACATACTTAAGGCACAAGTGTCCTAGCATCACTATTAACTTTTTATGTCTCATCTCCTCAACTACATTACTGGCAGCTTAACTATTCCCACCACTCCCAGATAAGGCAGATACAGGGGCAGGAACTCTTATTTACAGCTGTAGCCTCAGCACCTTTATAGTGTCTAGCCTATTATAGGCACTCAGTAAGTGCTGAATATTTATTGACAGAATTATAAAATTTGACAGATGAAAACTATATAAGCTAATGACAAATCATTAAAACTATTAGTGTTAAAATGCTACTAGTTCAAGAGTAATTTACCAATCAGATTCTTTAAACTGGTGATGTGGTTTACAATGTCTGTTCTCTTGCGTACTACTGTGCGATCTCCTCTGCCGTTTGTGACTTCCACTGTAGCTTTCATGTCCCCAGCTTTCTCTATCATCCCAATGAGGGCAGTGAGTTCTTTTGGAATGCCGCATCTGTTAATGGAAACAAAAAGTGTGTTGTGAAGGTTATAGATGATTAAATTCAGTAAATAAAATAGTATTAAATATAAACACCCAGAACGCAGGGTCACACAAGTTCAAAAATCTTTTGTAGGTAAAGTTCCCCGAGGCACAAGGCACTACTCCACTGATATGTCAGATGATTCTAAGTGGCATATAGATCTAGTACTAAATGCTAAATAACACTGTGAGACCTTAATACAGTTTCCTTCATTCTTCTGGATAAATTCTCAGCTTGGTGTTTGTCTTCAATAAATACTTGCTAACTGACATTTTAAAAATGAAAAAGAGCCAGGGTTCAGTCTTAGAGCCTTTGACAGACAATATCATCTAGCTAAAAATTAATAACTTTTTTTGGTTTTAACTTATTTGTATAATTACCTTCTGTTCATAGTAAATTATTACTAATCTCTTAATAAAGTTGATATAATATCTTTAAAAATGTTAACTTTAAAATGTGAGCTAATCTAAAGGGAAATACTATCATGAACATCATGCAGCTTTGGCAAAATATTGTAATATGAATAACGAGTCAGAGAACACTTAGGGATGCTGAATATAAAAGATGACTTGTTAAAAAAAAGTATAAAGCCATTAATGAAGCTTCAAACATGTGAGAGTTCCTTTCTCTAAAAATCTCAAAATGACTTCAAGCTTCGGGAGGGGTGGGAAAGGAGGTAAATAGAACACAGTATTCAACAGAGAAACTGAAGGACAATAAGATTATTTTATGAACTCATTTCCTCTATTCAACAGTTTATTTTCAGATCATCCTGCAGTTATTCTTAAAATTAAAATATATTTGTTTTAACCCTGGGGTAGGATTTTCACTGAAAATTTATAAGTGAGCATTCTGGTTTGACAGTCATTTCAATATGGGAAACTGAAATGAACCTGAGGCAAAGGCCATCAAAAGAGCAATAAGAATTATATTTCTAGTGGAATTCTTCTGACCCTTCGAATACCAAAACTGTACTTTAACCACATCAGAAATTCTTTAAAATAGCTTGGTTAAGCTTTCTTAAATAGCAAGCAAAATTACAATTATCTGATGACTGTTATTATGATGACCATCCATTATTATGCAGTTCTTGCAAAACATGTATCTGCTTTAGTTTATTTCCCTTTTATTGTCAGTCTGCCACAACCATCTAATCTCTAACAAGGCAGACTTCTCAAACAACCAAAGTTATCAATATGCAAATATTAAAATGTGAATAAGCATCCTGGAAGAGCCAAAGATTTTTATTTCTCTAATCAAGTTCACTACTTTAAATTTAATTCAGCTGTTAGGAAGTTCCCCCGCCCCACTAACGATTAGAAACAGTTTCTCAGGAGAAAAAGAGAAGAAACCTGGACCCGCATTCTACCAATAAGGATCCTATGAATACCAAAAAAGAAAAACTACTTAGAATTATTATACTACTTTTAATTAATAAAGACTCCTACGTGCTAGAACCACCAGATATCTTCCAATAAAAACACCAAACACAATGGATCCATATGTATATATCCGTCTTAGAAATCTGATTGTTGCCCTTTAAAACCCGACAATTTTATGCTTGTATAATATTAACAATACCTTAAAAGGCTAAAGTTATGATTAGATGGCTCCAAGAGGGCTGCATTTAACAAGTAACAAGCCTGTGGGTGTGCATGCATGAAGTACAATCATAAAGGAGATTGCTGGCCTGGTCAATTTGGAGGGCTGTCTCCTAAGGCTCGGATAAGCATATTGCGGCTACTTGAGTAATCACGGATAATATGATGCAACAGCGTCGGAAATCCAGCTATGCTGCAACAATGGTATCCTCCACTTTAGGAAAAAAAGTGTCGCACAACTGACGAACCTCTGCATATTTCTACTCTCACAAGCACTAAATTCCACTACAGAAACTTGCAGACTCCAGGTTCCTCGGACGCTCAGTCCCCACCACCGCCACAGGGCACCGAGCTAGAGCATGAGGCACTCAAAGAGAAAAACAAATGTCTGACTTTGGAAACTCCCCCAAATGCCACAAACAGCCAAGATCAGGAATCCAGGAAAGGATCTGATCTCCCACAACACAAACCCAAAGGGGAGCTCTCGAAGGATTTCTGACAAGTCTTCGCTCTGCCCGGCGGGACGAGACTGGGCCTCCGAAGGCGCGATGCAAGCGGCCAGGGCCCTCAGAAAAGTCAGCGGCAGAACCACCGTCTTTCCGCCCCAGGACTTTAAATCTACCATGACACCTCCGCAACTTTGGGTTTTAAAGGTCACCAGCGGGGGCTGTGTCCCGAAGAAACCGAAGTCGCCGAGGCCCCAAACCCTGTCATTTCTCCGACACCTGGCTTCAAGACCTAAAAGACTGAAAAGCTTCCCAGCCCGGAAAACTGCACCCGAAATCTTACCTCTGCAAAAGCAAAAGGCCGTCTGGCCGAGAAATGTTGCCAAACCGCCGTACCCTCTCTCCAGCCGCTGCGACAAACACCCAACAAAATGGCCGCAGCGCCTTCTCCCTACAAACTCCACCCCCGGCGGTCTCTAGCTCCACCTATGCCACGCAAACGCGTTTGCGTCACAGATCCTCTCCCCCGCCCCCGACTCCGAAAATGCTCCTTGTGACGTCACGGGAGGCCACGCACTCCACTCAGCGGCTGCGCGACCCAGGCGGTCCCCGCCCAGGCCTAGGCGTCGCTTCCGGTTGTTTTCCTTCCGGGGGAACCTGAGTGATACTGAGAAGGACTCTTCGTTCCCTGCTTTAAGTCTGTGGCGTGTGTCTGCTTTTTCCGATGAAGTTATCGTGGATGTGGGATCCGTCGGCAGAGCGAGCCATGTTCCCGTTTCTTTTTCTCCCGCTCAAATGGGTCACGTCAACCTCGAACTGCGCCCACAGGAGATAAGCCCCCAAACCTGCCCTTTGCCAGGCCGGGGAAGTTCAGTGAACTAGATACATGTAGTCCATGGCTTGGAGCTTCCCGTTTAAAAGTAGATTCGGATAAAGAGGCTGTCTTAGTAAGCAAGCTCAGGAGTGCTTATCTTTTAAGGCCTGTCGTCTTAGAACAACTAAAAATGAGGAAGTTTCAATCGAGACTATTTCCAAGGTTCTTCCTGTTATGGTCCCTGCCTCCTGGGCAGATGTGGAAACTGAAGTTTCCCTTAAAAAAAAAAAAAATCACTCCATTATTTGTCCCTGTGGCTTGATTTTATTTAATCAAGGCAGAGTGATGTCTGAGTTAGCATCCATTAAGGAGCTTGCTTACTTCAAACGTGTTTTGCAGTTCTAGAATCCCCAGACGGTTCCCATTGTGAAAGTGTAGAGTAAGAGCAGAGAAGAGAGTGAAAGTATGAGCCTTGGAGAACACGTGTAAAGGACAGGAAATGAGCTCGAGAAGGAATCAGCAGAAGGAGGGGAGAACCCAGGGTGTGGTGTCAGAAAAAGCAAGGGAGAGAAGGGCTTAAATTAGGGAAAGGCTCACAGTACCAAGAGCTGGAGAGGAGTTAGGTATGGTTAGTAATGAAAAGTTTTAAGGTGGATTCTGTGTTCTAATAAGGAATCCCTGGGATAAAAGGGAAAGCCAGAAATCAAATTCAGGTGGGCAGGGTCAGACTGTAGTGAACATAAATCCAATAGCATGTGAGAGACCTGAACTCCTATCTTGTTAGGTGAAAGGAGGGCACTGTATTTTAGTGATCTTTAAGTGATGCCTTACACAAAGTAAAATTCTCTATGGCTAAAACCATGGAACCTATGAATCAAAGGCTAGGAATTGCCAGCAGGTCTTTCAGGTTACATAGTCTTTTTCTTGCTACATGCTCTTATCCTTCATACTGTATGTCTATACCATCAAAGGAAAATGGGTAAACAAAGTCTTTAAACTGTAATTCATAGAAACTAAGACTGATATATAAACTGAATTCCCTGAACACTTGAGGTCTTATTGTTTTTGCTCTGTCCCCTCTCTATCACTGTGCCTCTCACTGTGTCCCTCTGAGTGTCTCTCAGGCTCTCTCACCCTCTGCTACTGAGAGGAGACCACAGTCTGTCTATAATAAACTTTCTCTAATAAACTTTCCTTTTGACTCGACCTCTGGGGTGCATTTGAATTCTTTCTTGCTCTCAGCTAAGAACTCTTTCTTGGTTCAGGGCTTGAGCTCCCCACCCCCAACTCAGGGAAATTTGCCCTGTCCTGCATCAGTATGGAAGATCTTTTGTTTTGTGGGGAGATAAGAAAATATGGTCAGTGCACAGTTCTACTCAAACAGCAATGCAAAATTAAAATGCAGCCACGTACACAGGTTTTTATAGACACTACAAAACAGTGATAAAATCCAATAGTGGAGTCTGCTTTGTAGTTACTGCTGCCTTGTTTTAGTGTCATTTTGAGTTTTTTTAAGTGTGCCACCAAAAGGACTAATATTTCAAAGTGCACATAATCAGATAAGATTGAGAACATACTGTGACTGGCATCTCTATGATATGTAACAAAGCATTGTGGTGCTCCTAACTACTCTGTGGCTTGTGTTTTGACAAGGACCTAATTTGTGTTGTCTTTGTATCTAAGTGCCCTCAATCCAGTACTATTTGTAAATCATTTACATAAGTCGCTTTTCGCCATTTTGCTCAAAGTTCCAGAGTCATTAAATCAAAGGTAGAGATTCACTCCCAGATTACTTGCACCAGTTAATCTTACATACGGCAGCCTCAACCATTTTACTAAATCAGTAACCTGCGATATAAACGCCTTTGGTCAGAAGACTTAATGAAACGGTCTAAATTTCTGAAAATCTACTACCAACACTGAAGAAACTGCCTAATCCAGTAGCTTCATTTCCTCACAAGAGCGAATATGTCCAAAAAAACCTTAAGTTAATCCATGTTGTTAAAAAATCTTAGCTCTGAAGAGCAGCAAGAGGAATATTCTTAACATATATTCTAGCACCATATTCTCCATGCTTAACTGCACACATAGAAAATAGTTGTCTCTGAAAGCAGAGTTCCAGAGTAAAAGTCTACATAGTGTATACTGAGTTTCACAAAGCTTATCATTTATATAGAGCAACCATTACAATAGTGTTAACAAACCTTATGGTTATTCACCTCTTTTATAAGTTACTTATTACTGATACCTATCTGCATTCAATTAGATTTTTTAAGTTATCGAATACTCATTATGTGCTAACTACTTTAAACATGTTATCTCATTTACTGAGGTAAACAGCCCTGTGAAGTGATCACTGGTTACCTGCTCTAAGTCACTATTATCAAGTATCAGAACCAAGATTTAATCTCTGGCCTTACTTGCTCCAAGATGTTTAACCCATCCTACCAGCTGCTTCAACTCATACAAGAAAGTATATAGCAACTTACTTTACTTAGTGATTAGGGAAAAACATGCTGAGTCCATCTTTCAGCAAGACCAAAAGGTTAGTCTCAAAAAAAAAAAGGAAAAGAAAAAAGAAACAATTGCCAAGGTGATGTATCATTGAAGGCTCCCTGTGATGAAAAATAGGGTCAGTTTATCTCTAGCACATCGAGGTCATCAAAGGTCCCAATGTGCTTTATTAACTGTTCAGCAAGTCACAAAGGGTCTCCTGCACACCTCACACTGCCTGTGATGGATAATTCCCTAGGTTTCTCTGGTGTTTCCTGATACTGGTCATGAGAAGATTCACACGACACATTACTGAGGACACAGTCTCACTGAACAGTGCTGGAAGCATTCCCTGATACACAAAACACATTGCAGTATGTGAGGTGGGAGTGGAGAGTTGCAGGGAGTGACTTAATTCAGATGTTCTGTAAGGAATAGGAAAGACTGGTCATTCCAATCTTCTTGTCAATTTCCACCACCTCCGATGAAAGGGCTTTGAAGCCAGGCTAGTAGTTTGTCAGCCTCACTGCCAATAATTTCAATGAACAACTATCCAATGCAACCATTGAAGGAAAAATATATTTACCCAAATCCTAACTTTTCTTTTGAACATTGTTTAACCCTACATAAATGTAGGAAGATATGTAGCACATATTTGTCTCAAAGTCTTTACCTTTTCTTTAATGTATATCAGGTTCCTATTTCATGCAATTCAGGAAGTATAGTATCCTTCAGAGTAGTCCAAGGTTTTCTGGAGAGGGTGTTAACTTTTCTAGTGGTTTCCTGTCACTTTTCGCTCCAAATTCCCATTCCTGGCTCTGTGTCTCAGTTCCCTTATACTATCTCATATGCAGTTGCTGTCCTTGCCTCATAACATTTTGTACCAAATATGGACACAGACCTCTTCTTTATTCTGCAAAGCCTACTAACACATAAGCTTTTATGAGGAATAGGCTTAAAATTTTGAGGATACTAGAGAGTGGGTATAGCACAGAAACAAAAGTAACTTAAAATTTAGTATCAGAATTCACAATTCCTCAGGTTTTCATTCATTTCCCATCACAGATTATTTCTTACTGACCTTTTTCTCCTTAGGACTCAACTAGTCAAGTTCCTTGGGATCATCCTCAAATTTTCTCTCAAGAGCTTACTCTCATATTTTACTCATTCTTTCTTCCTCTATTTATTTATAAAATATTTATTGAGGACCTACTTATGCCACACACTGTCCTAGGTGCCTGAGACACAAAAGTATACAAGACAAAGTACCCCATGGAGCTTATGTTTCAGTGGGAGAGAAAAAAAAAATGGAAATAAATAAAAGACTTCAACTTTTATGCTATAAAGGAAACAAACTAGGGACTGAATGAATAACTGAAGAGGGCCTGCTTTAGGTAGGATGGTAAGAAAAGGGTTCATAGCAAATGGGACAGTTGAATGATAAAGGAAGGAGAAGCTGGCCATGTTAAGAATGGGACAAAGCCTCTGGAAGTCTCATTTAACTCTACAAGGAAACAGTTGTGAAGATATTCTTTGACATTTTGTGGTAGGAAGAAAAAATTGGAAACGAGGTGGATACCCTTTAAAAAATTGGAAACAAGGTACTTATCACTAGAAATAAGTAACAAGGATATATACTACACATCAGTTAAAAGCAATGAACTAAATTTACATATAGCAATATGTGCACAGCTTCATCAATGATTCTGAAGATCTGGTGAATCCCGTGGGACACTTTATCCCCAGAGCACTGATGAATCCAGAGTTCACCATCTGAGAGAAGATGATACAATCAGCATTGGGTGTTCATGGAAAGGTCAGAATCAACATAAACTTAAGTTGCCATGATGAAAAAAATAGCTCAATAAATTAAAAAAACAATCCTCTGTCCGTTTAGACATAATATGTACATTACTTATATGAATAAAATAACTTTTTATCTCTTTAAGAGGTAGTTAATTGAAAACAAATTAAAGAACAAAATAATTTGTTCATGTAGATCTCGTTGAAAATATTTGGATTTTTGGCAGATCTAATGTAATCAAATGCAAAGCAACCTTATCAGGCATCCTGAGATTGTATCTATATGGGTCAATAGATCATCAATTTCTTTACATAATTCACTAAAATGTCTACCGAAATTCAACAATTATTAAATTATCCAAGCATTCACTTTGATGC